AGTCAAACGATTGGCCTCTGCGGGACGAGTTTTTGCAGTGTGCAAGTCATTACCTGATCTCCGAATCCTCTCGGCCGTGAAACCTCCATGATACTCCGTCTGCGCGTGGGACTCGGGGAGGAAAAAGCCTGGTGATTGACATGTCAGCACTTCCTGTCCTGGATTTATGCAGTGCTGCTGGAAATGCTCCTGCACCACAAGGTCATAATTTAGCCTCCTCTCAGTTTACCTTCCCCCTGATAGAATTGCTTGTAATTTATAGTATCGTTTTAATTAAATGGATTGAGAGAAGCCTAAGTGCCACAGTTTTAAGACAAGCTATTTTTTTAGGAAGTACAATCTGAATTCTTAAACTCCTGCCTGGGACAGAGAGTAGAGCAATAAAGTGAATGGCCACTAAACCAGGGATGGTTGTTAGTGGAATTAAATCGTTATAGAAAGGTCACAGGAACACATGTGCAACCTGACACAACCATACCTGCATGCAACAGCAAAGCAAAAGCCAATCATGTATTGTGAGCAATGTCGGTGAACCCAATAGAGCGGGACCATCGCCAAATGTGACGATTGTGATGTGCAGATTCATTTGAGGCTGGACTTCCTCCAGTGTATGGTGTTGATCAGAGGTGGATGACGCTTAGCCTTCCTCTGGACACGAGTGTGATGTGTTTATATGGTCATAGATATTAATAGGGATTTCTGATAGCTGCTCCAGGAAAACGCTGCCAATAACTGCTGGCCGTAACCGTTTCCACACTCCAAATCTATACCTTCATTCCTGATGAGAATAGAGAAGCTCTAGATCAGTGGCAAGACAAGTCTTTGGTTCTGAAATGCTTTAACATTGCTTTAACATTAAAAATGAGTTTGTTTCCAGGTATGTGGCAGCGTTTTGTTAGAACCTGTTAACCCGCACCTGGACGCCGGCGCACTGAACACTCTTTGTTTGCACATGTCAATTATTCATAAATAATCTATTCTATTTATGAATAGATTAAATGAAAAGGGACATAATTAATCTTGACAAATATATATCATTCTAAAGGTCTAAGCCTCAAGCATCGATGATAGATCGCTGTTTTTCAATGGAAAGCTTATAAGGAAACGCAGTACGTACCAGATTCATCGTAATAATGAGTCATAAATGCATCCACAGCTGTAAATCCTAGTTTAGTTAGAAAGGTATGGGTCCACTGAACAACATCCCATAGAGCACTTTTAGTCCAACGAAACAATAACGTTGTAATATGGATGGTTATTCCTTTGTTAACGTCTCATTTCTTCGGGGAGAGTTATTGTTTGTATCTGTTATGGTATAACTTACTCTCAAAAAACTGAGTCTTGGTAGTAAAAAGCAACATGGTTTTGCAGCATACAGTGTCACAAACAGAATGAGACCATCCACTAAAAACAAAGTCAAAGATATGCGGAATATTGTTTTTTGAATTCTGGTCCTCTCTCGTGACGGCTCATGACATGCTGTGACGCACCTGTCATCTGTTGGGGACGTAACTTAGCGATCGACTTTCTGCACAAATGATTTTTTTTTCTTCTTCAACATTTTTCATATATGTGTTTTGTGGGGAATGTGGCTGTATCTGCATGATTACCATCTGTATGAGCGCACATCAGCGTGTGATTACTGTCAGTATGATAGCTATCAGTGTGAATGCGGTCTATATGAATGGCCATAAGAGTGTGATTATTGACTATATGGCCGGCCATCAGCATGTGATTACTGACTGCATGAGCAGTTATCAGTGTGAATGCTGAATGTCTAGCAATCACAGTATGCACTTGGCATAAATAGTTAATTATTTTTTTCTTATTTCTTTTTATTACTCAAAAATTAATCTTATTGTAATTTTCTAGTGCTCAAATAAATCACCTATACGATGTCTAAGATTCTGTCTATTGTTTTATAATTGAAAAACTATGCAGTGGTATGTGTAATGACTAAAGTAATTTGTAGAACCCTTCAATGATTTGGTAAATATTTTTCCTCAAACGGGGTGGGGGGGGGGGGGGGTTTAAAATGACAAATTTTTTTTTTCTTCTTCAACATTTTTCATATATGTGTTTTGTGGGGAATGTGGCTGTATCTGCATGATTACCATCTGTATGAGCGCACATCAGCGTGTGATTACTGTCAGTATGATAGCTATCAGTGTGAATGCGGTCTATATGAACGGCCATGTGTGATTATTGACTATATGGCCGGCCATCAGCATGTGATTACTGACTGCATGAGCAGTTATCAGTGTGAATGCTGAATGTCTAGCAATCACAGTATGCACTTGGCATAAATAGTTAATAATTTTTTTCTTACTTCTTTTTATTACTCAAAAATTAATCTTATTGTAATTTTCTAGTGCTCAAATAAATCACCTATACGATGTCTAAGATTCTGTCTATTGTTTTATAATTGAAAAACTATGCAGTGGTATGTGTAATAACAGTGTGGTACAATTATTTTCAAGGCAATTCAGTGTCTATAGCAGTAATGGCAAAAGTTCCTATTGAGGGAGACCGAGAGAGAAAGAGAGAGAGACTTGACTGAAAGAAGAATATTTTGGGAACGCATGCCAATAAATAGTAGACCCATTGGATGGGTTGAGTCTTTTTTGACTGATAGATTACAGTGTGTTAGGGTAAACTCTGCTTTGTCTCCCCCTATTGTTACCAACACCGGGGCCCCAAAGGGAAGTACTGTCTCCCCAGTGTTATTTGCCCTCTATACAAATAAATGTAGAGGTTCCTCATCTGAAGTTTTCAAGTATGCAGACGATATGGCAATTGTTGGTTTGATTACTGAAGATGAAGTGGAGTATCGTAGATGTGTGGATGAGTTTGTTGATTGATGTCAATCCAGTTTCCTTCAGTTAAACACCAGGGAAACTAAAGAGATTATTTTTGAGATACACACCAACAAATAACTATCAACGGTGAGTGCATTGAAGTAGTAAATGAATATAAATGTCCAGGGACAGTCATTGATGTAAAATTGAAATGGGATGCAAGTACAGGAGCTATTTACAGGAAAGGGCTGCAACGATTGTGTGTGTGGATACATATACAGTATACTGGTTCTTTTCTATCACTCATTTATGGAGAGTATTTTATTTATTTTGACTTTCAGCTTCATTGCTTGGTATTTCTCACTGTCTGTGGTCAATAAGAACAAACTAAATAAGATTGTTAATATGGCTAGTAAGATTGCTGTGAGGAAAAGCCATGGGTTAGGTATCACATCCACTTTATGGTAAAAATGTTACCATCTGGTCGAAGGTATAGTGTACCGTTATTACGGACTGCCCGTTCACAAAGATCTTTTATATCCTCCAGTATAGCTCTGTTAAATAAATTCTTGTGATATCACAGTTTTCATTTTACATCTATGGCAGTGATACTGTTGTTGTTTTATTCTGGTTGTATTTGTAATGTGTTGTAATCTGTTGATGTTTGTTTGTTGTGCTATATAAATAAACTTGCCTTGCCTTGCCTTGTATTTGTCAATTGTTGTTGATGATGACTGAAGGGTTGCTACAGATACAAAAATAATTTCCGAAAGGACAATAAACTAAACTAACTAACTGATTGAAAGTTGTAGGAACGTTCCCTGTTAGCTGGGTGGTTAGTCCTTATTAACATACTCGCTCAGATGAACATCGTTCATTCATGCATTCGTTCATTCATTCATTCTGCCTTTCTCTCTAAATTAGTTTGGCCGCAAGAGGTCAGTTATGGCATTATGATGGCACAATCACTCCCAACAGCGTTTTAATGAGCAGAACAGCTTTCTGTCGTCTGGATGATCCTCTCTGCTGGATGTGAATGAATAGAGGCCAGCACAGACAAACACAATTAACACAACATAGAGACCCGATTAACTAAGACGTTCTTACTCCAATTTCGCAATGCATACTAAAACACACCCGCATGCACTATAACAGACATTTGTTACATTTATGAATAACTGAATGATTCTGCACGCAGTGAGGATGGTTTGTTTTAGGCATGTTTAGCTAACCGTGATCAGGACAGGAGAAAAAAATACCTGACAGTCTCAGTTTAATTTAAAATACTTGCATTTTGTTCAAGGAGCTTTTCAGAAATAAAATTGTATGCAGATTTTTCTGGAAGTATTCACTTTTCAATTATAAGTTGTTTACTAAACAAAATCATGGGTTGACATTTTAATTTCTACTTAAATCCCTACTGACAACCATAAAACACAAAGTCATTCATTATACAGTGTCAAGCTAAATCTAAAATAAATATATAGAGAGTGAATCATGAATCAAGCTTTAATTTCAGTGTACGTTGTTTTGAAGATTGGAAACCCAGTTGGCTACAGGCCGACCATCAGCAGCCTCAGAGTGCTGTTCCTGCTGAATCACTGTGCATCAGATGGTTTGGACTGTGTGCCATGCTACAAAAGGCTGAAGAATTTGCCCTAATACATGTCTGCTGAAGGTCTGTCTGTGCCATTTTGATCTGTTCTGTGTGAGAGATGGAAACACAGTGACCTCCAGTGGCCCAGAGAAGAAACTCCAGCATGTGCCATCCCGTCAAGATTTCAGCCTGATCCAGCATCTAACGATTTCGCTCATTAATTCTCTCACAGACTATTCATTTTTACACACAGGCAGAAGTGGAGATTCTCATTAGCACTAGTTTGAGATAAAAACTGAATCTTAGACTTCAGTCTAGATTCTCTGTGTTTATGTTAAAGCGTGTAGTATCTACAGAAGGACGGTATGAATTTACAAACTGTCACAGGCCTGGAGTGTTTGTGATTTGGAAAAATGTTGAGGCACTCTTAGGGTGATAGTGATGTCTGATTACGGTCTAAACTCCCTCATGCTCTTTGTAGCAGCTTCTGTTCCTCTAGAGAGAGCAAATCAAACAGCAGTCAACAGGCCAGGCTCAGTTTGAGAAAGCTGTTTTCACGGATGACATAAATGGACTTCTGATGTAATGTGTGTTTTTGCAGGCAGCCCAGTGAACCTGACCTGCCGAGCGTTCTTCGGCTACAGCGGGGACGCGAGTCCTCTCATCTACTGGATGAAGGGAGAGAAGTTCATTGAGGATCTGGACGAAAGCCGAATTGGAGAAAGTGACATTAAGTAAGTCATGACATCCTTTCTTTTCATTTATTGAGAAGAATCAGAGTTGCTGTCCGTATCTGAATTTGTATGTGCAACAAAATGAATGATATGTTGTGTGTTTGTGCACAAGTGCATAAATCTTCCACATCCAACTTGATTTAACCCTGTCAGAGTCATTCAGCGGCCATCGGTTGAGTGTTAAGACCTTCTGAGTAAAAGCATCCCATTAATCCTCAGCCGTTGGGATGAAGATGAGTAGACAAGCTTCTATATCTTGTAATCTCCATCTACATTTTATTGGTTCCATTAATAATGCAGTTCAGGCATATGCAATCTTAATCACAGCGTGACGAGTATCAGGGTCAAAGCATCTGACTGAATCTGTGCTCACCTGAACTACATCTCAAAGCAGAATATTCTAAACAAATGTGAGCAGTTGAAGGAAAATCTGGACGACGTCTTCCTTTTAAAAGATTTCTGTCATGACAACTCTCGGAGGGATTGGCATGGTAATGTATTAGTGTATTTGGTCTTGGTGGAATAGATCTGCTACGTTGCTGCTGCTGTTGCAGAGCAAGTATCGAAACTTGCTACTGCCAATACATCCACAACATGCTGCTGTGAGCATGTAAGAAATATTGCTGCTGCAAATGTAACATACATGAAATAACCCCCATATAGCATTCATGAATCACCTCCCCAGTCAGCAAACAAATTTGGCCCAGATTTGGCATGCATCTGGCACTGGCATACAGCATGTGGGCCAAACATGGCCCGGGTTTGACAGAGATGGTACCGGGTTTAAAACGGCACACAAGACATGGCCCAGATGTCAAATATAGATATGTGGGCCACATAAGTATGGCCGATCTTGACCCACATTTAAAATCCATTTAAAATATTTTTGAGTAAAATCCCAATGTTTTCCCATACAGAAAGGTAATATATTCACATATATGTGAAACACTGTTAAATATATTGAAAAATATTTTTAAAATGCATAACATAAAGCTCATGTTGTGTGTTTAATTATGTGTTTACATATGTGAAATTATATTCATGCCTCATATGATATAGTATCTTACATTATAGAATAGTATATCCTGTCTGTTGTTTTATATATATACAGTGTATATATATATAAATATATATAAACTGACTTCAAACAATGTTCACAGCATTCAGTGCTTTCATATTTTCATTCAGTTTACAGTTTGATGTAGGCCTACTATCCACTTAAACAATACATGATGAAGTTTAAGGACATTTTATGTACTATTTATGTAAATGCATAACTTTGATGTGTTTTAATGGGTGCACGCGTTGAGCATTCAAATCACATTTAAACTGGAGCGGAGGGAGTTACCATGGAAACGGGCCGTAAACTCACTCAGCTGACAAGTAGCTAGAGTCCATCTCTCTGCTGTTTTCACTGCTTTCAGGTAAGTTTAGTCCCTAAAATTACACAAATAAGACATACAACCATTCCTGACACTTTCTTAAATGTAACGGACACGTTTCTGTTGAATCTTTACTTTACAGGAATGGTTTAGTGTCTTCAAAAAGACCGTTAGCATCACAACCGTTAACTAGCTATAGAGGCTGGCTATTAGAGGTAAGCTAACTATAGATTTGAGATCTTTTTAATGAAAGTTTGAGCTTTTAATCACATTTTATGTGTAGATGAGCGATTTTGATAGTTTGTAAATGTTTTGCTGGTACTTTGTCAATAGATAAACGGAAGTAATAAGCTAATTAATTTAACCTAAAAGTCTGCACTGTGGGGTCAATCGGTGACGTCACTTACATGAACTAATGGCTGAAACTATTTCAAACACGTTTTGAACTTTTATTGCAAACAAATATTGATGAATTGTACTGTAATTTCAGGAGTGTCAGAAAAACCCTAAAACAGGGGAAGTTACAAGAAAATGTGTAATGGGAGCTGCTGACAGAGATACAGGAATCACAGGTGATCTGAGAAATCTTATTAAATAACATTATGCATTTTTCACAATGTATTTCAACTATATCATCATGCATCTGTAAAACCTAAAAGATTTGTATGTTTTTTTGTTTTGTTTGTTTTGTATATTATTATTTCTCTTCTCTGCTGTAGTTTGTTTATTTCTAATAAACCTGAGATTGTATACTACATATTGTTGGCTATGTGACATATTGTTCCTATATTCTTCCATGCTGATGGCCGTGCTGCAGAGCTGGAGCGGATCTCCTGTCGAAGAACATCTCCAAGGCACTATGAACCATCTGACTAGTAAGTAAAACCTCAAACATTCAAAAGTTTATCAAATATTCAAAAAAATATATCAAATAAATATCAAATATTTCCTGTATGTCCTACAAGGCCATCTTGTTTAACTCTGCACTGAGGACACTTCATACACAACAACCTACAGAGGGGTCCATCATCATTCGAAAAAAGACAGATGATAATAAAAAAAGATCTTTGAAATTAAAATTAATAACTGTAAGACAGAGCCAGAGTACTGTGTACGTACCTCACTTCAAACTGTAACAGTCTGTATGTATATTATTCTCTAAACTTTAGTGAAGTGTTTGTTCAAGTAGACTTTGTTGCTTGTGGAAACCTCACGCAAGCCTGAAAGGTACTTAAAACTTACAATTTTATTTGCACTCTTGAAGACTGTTCACCAAAGACTAAATTTCAGTCCGGCAGAATTTTCTGCACACTTCATCACCGAGGCCAAAATGAGCATTGTGAACAGGGCTGGATTTATGCATAGGCATTCTAGGCATGTGCCTATGCTCGCTTGTCCAGGGGGGGCGCAAACACAATGAAGAGAGATCTTATTTTTTTAAGCTATGGGCAATTTACAACAGTAAAGAACCAAAACCCCATGAAGACAAATATAACAACCAATAGGGTAAAAATGACAAACCATTTCCCTGTTTTCCACTTTTTATGTACGGAAATCACGCTGTCTTTCTCCCGTTCTCTCTCACAGACGCACACACAGTACAGACACGCACTCGTGCTCACTCGTGGAGATGCAAACAGAAATTTGTCAGCGCTGCCCTGTGAATTTATCAATAAAATAGTTTCGCAGCTGAAAAGCCACATGACATTTCTTAGTAGTGAGGTTCTTGAAGCAGTTCAACTTAAAGATTCGCTTTTAGTATATGCTGCTGCTGAACACTACTGAGAGACGCACAGAAGCAGGTTCACACACGCTTAATTCTCTCTCTCTCTAATAACTGCATTAGCCTACATATCAAAGGCTCAAACCTCTGTTATTAGATCTAAAATGACGTTTTGGAATTTGCAACGGAAGGTTTGGGATGAGGTACGTAAGAAATTACTTCAACACACAAGATTTCAGGACGGAAACATGACAGATGTCTTGAAATAAATAATCTGAACAATATCTTGAGGTGGTTGTGACTCCAGGCCGTTAAAATTATTAGAGAAATAATGCATTTCTGAAGTGGTAATATGGCCACGACGCCGGAGCCTATTAATGGAATGGTTCTCCATTCTCAAACAAATGAAGACATTTGATTTTTATTGACTGAACTGAACATGAGCACTTATTGCGATAGAAAACACTGTAACGGTTTCCACTGATTACAAAATATTTTTGTTTGCTAGGGTGGTAAAATTATATATTAATAGGGGGGCCCAAAAATTTGTTTTGCCTATGTCACAATAAGAGGTAAATCTTGCCCTGATTATGAATGTAAGAGCCTCACACTGCATTGTTTGTTTGAATTGTATTTCAGGGCAGTTTGTGAAGACAGATAACCTGGATAGAAGTCAGTTCCAGATCCAGCCTCCACTACAGACTTCTCACTCACAAGGATTGCTGTTTATTAGATATTATGTGTACTCTTTAGACTTAGGTGCATGCAGATATTATTCAGGGACATGAACACTTGAATATTGCAAAAATAGAGAAAGTACCTTATTTAAGAATTTTGTCTTAATTGCGCAAACATAAAATTTATATATATATATATATATATATATTTATTTTATTTTTTATTTTTTTTGCTGTTATGTTTTGTTTTCCAAACCACCAAAAAAGCCAATTCACACTGCCATACTCCAACAGGGTGAACACACTGCCCAAGCAACACAAATAAGCATGTTAGGTGTGAGATTCATTGAACTTGTTTTAGTGATTAAACATGATTAAATTTTTGTTCATACTACTGTCGTTGTTGTGACTATTCATCTGGGAGGGGTGTGTATTAAGTGGCTTGGTTATGGTTTTGTTGAGGCTGACATGTGGAACCCATCTGGTCCAGCCTATAGGACCAGAATAGGGCCAGCTATGGCCATACAGGTGGCTGAGATATGGATCTGTCATGGCCCATTTATGGCCCATATTTTGGCTGCCAGGTTTATTTCACCTGGATCAGGCTCAGGTGTGGCTCAGTTTTGGGCTTTCTGGTTAAAGATTGGTGTTGATATGGTTTACTTAAGGTTGTGTTTTGGTTCCAATGTTACATTTTGATATGGCCCAATTCAGGGCCAGTTATGGGTAATTAACTTGACTGAGACTTGGGCCAGTTCCCATAATCCAATGTGGAGAGGACTGACGAGCTGAAACGCGAGTTTGAATGAGATGTAGTTTACATCTTTATTTCTGCTTTAATGTTTATTTCATGTATTATTAATATTAAAATATGTTATTTAGGCATTAACTCAGTTGAATGTTTTACTAATTTACTGAGGTGGCGTTGTTATTAACCTACAAGAGATAATAGAGATGTGATGATAATTTGGTGGATGATATAAAATAATGTTTGTTAATCACCTGTATGTGGCGTATTCATCCTAATGTAAAACCATCGGTCGCCTGGGGCGCTCTACGAGCACTGTCATCTTATCGGAGCGCAAAATGCTGCTCGGGAGAGTTTCAAGACACTAAAATAATAAACACATAAAATGTATGTGTTATATGTGTATTTGTACTGTTTATTTTTGTTGCCAGTATTTTATTAGTATTTAATTATTATGAACATATTAAGCATTACAAAACAAATTAGGTCTAATAATACCATCGATGAAACCACAAAGCTGGTGTATATAATTACAATATAAAGTCATTGTGAGTGTTATTGTTATTAATATGTGCATTTGTGCATTTCATCATATGTACATTAACTGACAGTCACCACTGATTAGCTACCACTAAATATTGTAGAAACTTAATTTGCTCTGAAGTTGCTTTCCAATGATTTGTATCATGAAAAGCGCTATACAAATAAACTTGAATTGAGCACTGTCATCTTATCGGAGCGCAAAATGCTGCTCGGGAGAGTTTCAAGACACTAAAATAATAAACACATAAAATGTATGTGTTATATGTGTATTTGTACTGTTTATTTTTGTTGCCAGTATTTTATTAGTATTTAATTATTATGAACATATTAAGCATTACAAAACAAATTAGGTCTAATAATACCATCGATGAAACCACAAAGCTGGTGTATATAATTACAATATAAAGTCATTGTGAGTGTTATTGTTATTAATATTATTTTCTAAAATAAGGTACTGTTCAGGCAATATAAATGTATGTGATGAAGATGTTTCTGTGACAGCTCCTGATCTCTGACGTGCAGTGTATACGTCAGTGTCCGAATTCGTTCACTTCATTTCATTCACTCCTTTCTCATATAGTGCACTCAACTGCCATACACTATATAGGGATTAGTGAATGCATGAGCGATTTCGGACACTGCTACAGATTTAAGTGCTGTGACACACAACATGCCTTTATATTAAGATTAAATATAACCACTTCTCGTAAAAAAACAAGAACATGGTTCTCTTTTCAATTAAATACCAATAGTTATGTAATATGCATTCTTTATAACAACGCTTACATCATTCTTCATTCTTTCAAGCAGACATATTTATATGAATTAAATTTAGTTGAATCAGTATTAGCAGTGAGTGATTTACTCTCTTTCTTTTGTTGTTTGATTAATATTAATGACACAGACAACAGCAACTAAATGAGACCACTGTCTCTTTAAAACCGAACGCACAGATGTATTATACTGATACACATCTGATATTCTCCCTACTGTTTATGTTCACTAAAGACGTAACTGAGTGTTTATGTGAATACTCTTCAGAACTGACAATATGACATAATTTTGTGTGTATTTCTCCGTTCCTGCATGGTAAGACGCGAAAGAGAACTGAATTCAGTACTTGTGTGCATGCTTCGGGTGTGCGCGTTCAGAAAACTAGTCCGAGTTGAGTTCTCTTTCGCGTCGCCACGCTTTTTCAAATTTATTTATCCATATATCCACTCTTCTCTTACTCCCAGACGTTGACATTTTTTATCGTTTTGTAACACGTGCAGCAAGTGTAGCTACGTTGCAGTTCAAATGTGCGCATCATCCCTCCCAGCCAAGCAACAGATTCGTTCTAACTGGATCTCTTCCCAAGTGTCCCTCCCTAACATTTTCGACTCGTTTTTATTCGTTGATAAAAATTTCAATAGATTTTTTTTTGAGTGCGGTAAAGTTAGTTTTAGGTTTGATATTCACTGCATATTCGCCTCCCAGATAGCACACGTACATCTGCAGGACGTCTGTTAAAGATTGCTTCATCTGGAAAGCATCTGCTGTGTACAAACATCTGATAGACGTCTCTAAGATGTCAGTTTTACATACATTCTAAATCATAAACATCTTAAAGACATCTTCTAAACGTCTATTTGACATCTGATAGGAAATATCTTAGAGACGTTTAGAGGGTTTACATTTTTACAGGGCTATAGTAAATGCCTAGAGGGCAAACTGACTAAATATATATTGCCAATATCTCACCTTAGACAATACTTCCCCTAAGTGTGTACAGTACACAAATATTTTTAAGAAAAAAAATTGGGTTTTTCATGTTCCAAATGTTATAGTATATTCCTAGTGACCAGACTGATTTACTACAGTTTACATTTTGCCAATATCTTCCTTACTGCACATACAGTACATAATTATTCTTAGAAAAATTACTGTAATTCACCTATAGTTTTGTTTTCATGTTCCAAAGGTTTGTAGCGTCTGGACCACTCAAACACACAATATATATTTTGTTCAGCCTTATTAATTGATACATGAGGTATCACTTCATGTGATACAACCTCTCTTTCAGACAGATGAGACATGCAAGTATCAAACTTAGCCTTATTAATTGATACATGAGATATCACTTACACCTTTTTACAAAGGTGTGTTTGAACTAAGAATTTGATGTTTCCCTCGGGCAGATCTGCTGAATATGCAAATGGTTCCATAAATTTAATTCCTTATGTCTCTTCTCTGTACTGAGTTAAGCTTTAACCCTTTCCTATACCAACTGTATGTGTGTGAGTTTGTGTTTATGTAGTATGTTAGACTAGTTTA